AATTCTGTCCTCTTTTCCGAGGTCTCGGTTATGGCATGGTTATAGTATCTAGCATAGTAATGCTCTATTATAACCTTATTATAGCCTGGACAATTTATTATATGGCTGTGTCTTTCACGAGTATATTTTATCAGCTACCTTGGCAAAATTGTGATGCTGATTGGAGTACTGAATGTAAGTAAAGTTTACATCTATATTTTTAACTTTTTATATTTCGCATGAAAATAGAAAACTGTGAGACATGTTTTTTTTAGATTGCTACTCGTACGAAGAAGCTGACGAGTGCGAAGCAAAGAATGGGACTTATTATTTGAGACAGTGCTTTAATCAAAGTTATGCATCAATGCATAATATCGCCGCTTTAGCAGATGTTGCTCTTAGACGACCACCAGCTGAAGAATATTTCACGTGAGTATAAAGAGATGTCGTTATGAGATTTGCATTTAACGAAGTTTATTGAATTAAATGTCAAAAGCGATAATTAAAATGAAATGTTAAAATGAATAACAATATAATAAATGAATAATAATATATGAATAAATGAATAATAATAGAGAAAAGCGCAAAGAAACTAGTAATAGTTAACAACATTATTTTTGATTGTAGAAATAAAGTACTTGGTTTGTCTTCCGGAATAGAAGAGACTGGTCACGTTCGGTTTGGAATGGCAATTTGTCTGTTGGCTGCTTGGGTTATTGTTTTTCTTTGTCTTTGCAAAGGTGTTCAATCATCAGGAAAGGTAAACCAACAATTTGTTGTATTTCACACACACACACACACACACACACACACACACACACACACATATATATATATAATAACATGTAATCTAGAGTTTCAGTTTACCGTATAAAAGAATTGTAATAAAATTAATAAGTGATATGCATTTGAACGATTAATAAGTATACCTATTTATATAACAGTGTTCGTTGAATCTAAACAAATGATATTAGTGAGTCGAGCTCACAAAATTTTTTTTTATATTAGTTGTTACGAGTAAATTTTATTTTTAAAACGATTATTACATTGCACTTCGTCTCTCTTTTTAAGATTAATACGTGTAATTCATATTTTGCTCCTTCAGGTAGTGTACTTCACTGCACTCTTTCCTTATGTAGTGCTGGTAATCTTGTTTTTCCGCGGTGTGACATTACCTGGTGCATCGACTGGCATACTGTTCTATCTAACGCCAGATTTTAGTCAACTTGCTAATGCTCAGGTAATATAAACCGTAAACATATCTATTTATAATATTAGTGATGATATATAAATGAAATATTAAGGTATAAATGTATATCTTTACAGGTTTGGGGTGACGCCGCTGTACAAATATTTTTTGCATTAAGCCCTGCATGGGGAGGTTTAATTACACTGTCTTCTTACAACAAATTCTCTAACAACTGTTATATGTAAGTTTTATTTTTTTCATGAAAAAGGTTTTTAATTTGTCAATACATGTTTATTTAACTATTAACTACAATTTTTTTCTTTTTGCAGAGATTCATTAATCGTCGCTGTGTCAAACATAGCGACGTCATTTTTCGCTGGTTTGGTTATATTCTCAGTTATAGGGTTTTTAGCACACGAATTGAATGTTAATGTGGATAGAGTTGTGGATCAAGGCGCTGGACTTGCTTTCATAGTGTATCCTGAAGTCGTTACTAGACTACCTGTGTCACCCCTTTGGTCTATTCTTTTTTTTGTCATGTTATTGACTCTTGGACTCGATTCACAGGTAATTATTTAATAGGCAAAATGAGACAATTCAACATTTATTCATAAAATATTATAATCATTAAAACTATATTTACTGTTAAAATAACACAATACGCCATGCAGTATGACAGAAGGAAAATTTGGAATAAAACTAAACCTGGCCAGCGTGGAAGTTGTGGTAATATTCTCTATTAAAGAAGAGATCCGCGCTTAGCAGTTACTTCGTTACTCATCTGGGCAAAAAAGTGTACTCTTTTCAGATACCTGTACCTGTACAGATTTGATTATATGGAACACCATTAGAATCATTATATTAATCTGAGTAACAATGGCTTAATTTTTTTAATGATCTTATTTTTATGCAATTTAGAATGGAACACAAGCTGACGGCCCAACGGATGGAAAGTGGTAACCGTCGCCTATAGACATGAATAGTACCATGGACATAACAGAGTATACTGTTTCGCCCATGATACCTCCCGTGCGTTGCTATTCCTGAGGAATCCCTGATAGAGCAGTTGTGTATTTAATTTTTTTTGAATATAATACGGCAGGTTATAAGAAAAATATATATATCTAGGGTACATACGTTAGTTTTTGTATCTTAGGATAGTCTCAAACATATACATATATCTACATACCTATACATTTATATGTTTTTAATTTTGCAGTTTGCTCTAATGGAGACGGTGACCACAGCTATATTGGATAGATTTCCCAACTTCAGACATAATAAAGTTTGGGTGGTACTCACTGTAGCAGTGTTTGGTTATTTGGGTGGTCTTATTTTTACTACTAACGTGAGTTGGTTTTCATTTAATATCTTATTAAAATTCTGTTTTTCTTTTAAAACTAAAAACTGTGTAATATTTATTGTGTTTATTTTTTATTTTTAGAGTGGGATGTATTGGTTGCAACTTATGGACAAATATGCAGCAAATTGGTCAGTGCTAATCATTGCTATCGGAGAGTGCATATTAATCGCGTGGATTTACGGTGCTGAGAAATTCTGCCGAGATATTCAGCATATGATTGGAAAACAGTCCAAACTGTGGGTTATCTTTTGGAGTGCAATGTGGCGCCTCATAACTCCTGCTGCTCTAGTGGTATGCAATTTTCCGTCTTTTCTGCTTCACGATTATAAAATATGCAATAACTAATACTGTAAACTTATGAAAATTATTGGGATAACATACTGAATATATTTCTTACACAAATAATAATAACAATGATAAAAAAATACCATTTAGATGAAAGGATTGTAATTTGTGATAAATTTAATGCACTCTAAATAAAAAAAGAGAACAAGACTTTATCGTGCTTTATTTTGATAATATAACATAATGTACTCTAAAAATAATGGTTTTCGAAATAGTTTGTTATAATATAACATGATTAGCTATATCTCGCGATTTCGCCTGCATGGATTAGTATATAAAGTGTCCTATTTTCTAAGGATTATATCCTATATGTTAGGATATAATCTATCTGTGTACTAAATTTCTTTCAAATCCGGTCAGTAGTTTTTGTGTGAAAGAGTAACAAATATCCATTCTTCAAACAAACTTTTGCATTTACAATAATAGTAGGATAGTAGTAGGACTGATATCGATTGACATGAAGAACTTAATTCCTTTTACGAGTAACTTATACCTTCATCATTTTTTAACTAATCGGTAAAGATAAAATTCAAATTATTAAGAATTTGTACAAACAATATTTTATCAAAATCCAATTAACTTTGTCAAATATATCGCGTAAAATACACACAAAAAATATCGGCGATTTGAGAACTTCCATCTTTTACTTACAAATTTTAATTTATATAATATTTAAGTTACTTACAAATTATCACTATTGCCATATGATGACCATGTGTCGTTATGACTATGAACAAAAAAATAATAAAAGAATCTGGTTTCAGTTCATACTAGTGTTCAATTGGATCGAGTATAAGCCAGCGTCATACGGTCACTATGTGTACCCAATGTGGGCTGACGCGGTGGGATGGACTCTGGGTGTATTGCCCGTGGTTGTAGTGGTACTCATGGCCGTCGATCAGATTTGCAGTGGCCCAGATGATCTCACTATTATGGAGGTTAGTGTACCTAGTATGACTTCTGCTTCCACAATTGTACAGAATAACAGCGCTGTGGCAGTGAATAAACTGCCATGGCATAATGCAGAGTGCAGACCACATTGACAACTAGTTGTAGTAAATTAATATTATGATCTCTATTTTGTTTTATTTTGTTAATGCAACTGGTTGTCAAAAAAGCTTTTATTTTCTTTCTTTTTTTTTCTTTCCGTATGTACATGGCAAAATATGCACTTGTAAGATTATTCAGCTTATTTATTTAAACAATCAGGTTTGTTACACACATAAAATTAATTTTCGAAACCTAGCATGATGCATTATTTATATTCTCCATGTTTCGACCCGCAGATATAATTTTTATTCTATGTTTCTTTTTGGTTACCTATTAATAAATTAATAACTAAGGCGATAGGTGAGGATGGCCTTAGTATTAACATGATTGAGCCTATTAAATATCTCATAGCACCTTTGTTAGCGGACATATTATATTGGTCCTTTGCTTCTGGTATCTTTTAGTTCGCTTTTAAAGACAGACATGTTATTCCTTTTCCTAAGAAACCTAACCCTTTTTCTTCTAAATATCGTCCCACCTTCATCTTTCCAGTTCTATCTAAGGTGCTGAAACATTTTGTACTACAGCGATTATCTGATTACCTTCGCTATAATAACTTTTTGTGCCAATATCATTCGGAATTTCGTGCTGGTCACAGTACATCCATTGCTCTTATTAAGATCATGTCAACATGTCATACAATGTGAAATGTTGTAAGAGGAGAGGCGACTTTTTTTTAATGGGTGAAAATGTGACACCAATGAGTGTAATCGGGGTATAACGAGAGATGGTAAATAAGAATGAAGCAGGTCAATGTGCCCATCGTGGCGAATTCGACAACAGTTAACAACAATAATTTTCAGATAGAAGTACGTAGAGGTCTACTTGATATGATGATAGCAAAAGGATAGTTGAACCCCTTTACTATAATTACTTTCCTCCAAGGAGAGGCGGCTAGAAGAACAAAAAATAAGTGACGGAAAATGTTAAATTATAAGTTGTCTGGATCTTATGGGGAAAATAGAACAAGACGTTAGTTAAAGGAATGGATTGTTAAAAATATAAGTAATTGTGTACTCCGATTACAGAAAGCGCGAGTTCTCGCTAGACCAACAGAGGAGTGGGGTCCAGCCGCGACGCCGGGTGCTTGCACGACTGCCATCCGCGGAGAGTCGGAGCTGTCGCCGCCGGTTTTGCTGCTACATGGCCGGCCTGTGTTACGTGAGCGCGGGGCATGACCCCCGCACACGCACCCGCTCGTTGCTATGCGTAAGGTAAATTGAATCGGAAAGAAAAAAAGATATTCCTTATTATTGCTCTTATAAATTTAATGTTAATATGTAAATACTATATAAAGAACACAATGACAGAACAATAAAATATTATAAATGATTATGAGTATGACTTGTTCTTACGAATTAGTTTTACTGCCTAAAATTAAAAAAAAAATACACTATAATCTAAAACAATTATTTTGGTTTAAAAAAAATCATAATATTCCGTTCACACTTGTTGAAAATATTATATCACCTAAAAATAACCAATGTTGCTTTCGTAAATAATAATGCATTTCTATCATGAAAATATTGTAAACTGTATTGTTTTGGGCAAAACGCGAATTTCTTAGTCGTTAAATAATCTCAATTGTTAACATTTTGGGGACCTAATTTGTAGACAAATTTGTGGATATTAAGTAGTAGTCGCATTACAGTAGACATACTTACACTAAACATATTATTGTTAACTATGAAGGTATATTGGTATTTTATCGAAGATTCTTCCAATTTCTTTAATATATTATTTATACTGTCCGATATAGGTATATTTATATTGAAAAAAAAAAATTTGTTTATATTTTTTGTAAAATTAGTGATATTACAAATTAACTACTAGTTACTAATTAACTTTATTTAACAAAAACCTCGATGTTCTGCGCTAATAAATACTCGTATCAGTTTTTAAATTATATTTATATAAACTCGATTATAAAAAGTTATTGGAAATTATTTCAAACATTCTCTCATAATGACGTAACAAACACTTATCGATTATAAAAATTTCATAGAATTCACAGATGATCTCAATGTGCAGACTTTTCTACTTATAAGATATTTGTAGTAAAAAATGTTATTTTTTTTATTTCAGACGTCACAAGATGGCGGGGACTCAACATCTATTACAAGTGGGATAGAAAACGAGGCTAAAAAGCCCATAGTAGGCATAATGAAGACGAAGAGAAATTCAATAAAGAGAAAAGTGCAAAACTTTAGTCATGAATCAGATGACGCTATCATTGAACCATTATTACAAAAAGATAAGGATAAAACAGAGATTCCAAACCAAAGTGCCAAATATCTTCTGTCAAAAACAAAGACTGACTCTATGGGTGAAAAAGAAAATGATAAAGAAAAACTTTTGTCTGATAACAAGCATGAAAAACCTTCTTTATCTACTGCTCCTAGCACAGTAGAAGGTAAATCTTTAATTAATGTCACAAATGAAAATCATGTAGAGAAATCTTTTTCTATCTCACCGTCTACCATCTATAATCATATGAATACTAATATTTTTGGTAGTTCTGATGGAACAAAGAATATTGTCTCACCTAAAACTCAAATTCTTGTTGAAATTGATGCAACCAAACAAACAGGTTATAGTCCAAGTCCTTTAATTTTTACAACAGCTAAAATTCATGCTGATGGTAAAGCGAAACATATGGAACCGGTACAGGTAACGCCAGTACCAATTCTCTCAACGATTGAAGGTAGTGTTGTTAAAGCTGCGAGTATAAGTAATAATGAAAATAAAATTTTACCTGTATCCGCTGGTAAAATGAATAGTTGTTTAAATCCAGTTTTTATACCTTGTACAAATGATTCAGAAGTTGCTACTGAACAAAAATCTACCACAAGCGATGTTGTTCACAACAATTCAACATGTTCAGAACTATCAAATAAATCATTTAATGAAAAGTCAGATGCAAATAAAGTTACCCAAAATATATCTATTACATGTGATTTTACCAAATCTACAAAAACAGATCCTACTACTGTGCCAATTAAAACAGTAAAATGTGATAGTGTTACATCTATTCAACAAATTTCTCCAAATATTTCAAAATTAAGTGAAAATAAAAACAGCACATGCAGTTCCACTATAAAAGATATTTCTGTAAATGTACAAAGTACGATAGACGTAAATAAAAACATTGATTATGCTAATATTTCTGATAAAAAAGTTCTTCCTGACTTATGTAATTTAAAACAATTGCAACGTCAAAATAATGGTGCAATAGAAAAGCCTCATAAATCACCATCGGATTTAATTGTTAGTAAATCTTCAAATGATACAATAATAGGCATATCTAAATATAATAATACGTTAAGTAGCACTCCAAATGTAAAAGATGAAGTGAGTTCTTTGCCCGCAACAAAATCGCTATCTAGTTCAGTTACATCAGTAAAAAAATCAAATATAACATCAACAATTACACCAACCACGACAACGATAGTACAAACAACGCCATTTAAAGGAATAATTGTTACGTCTACTGATAAAACAATAACAATATGTCCATCTACAATTTCAACGGTAACAGTACCGTCAGATGCAAAATTTGACACACCATTGATTTCGACTACTTCTAAATCTATCATGTTAGATGAAATTACTTCACAAGTTCAACCTGTGGCACTAACAACCTCAACAACAGTACTGACATCAGATTTATCGATTGACAACATATCTGGGGTCCCTTTGAAGACTACTGTATCGAATCAATCACCAATATCTAAAACAACAACAGCGATATCATCTATGGTTACGTCATCAGCAATGTCATTACCACATGATAATACAGTTTCAATAACTACGGAAGACAAAGTTTTATTTCATAAAGCTGATGTAACAACAATATCATCTATGGTTAAACCTCACTCATCAATAATTACATCAACTTCTAAGCCTGTATTGACATTGGAATCGTCGACGAAAAAGCCAAGGACAGAAATGGTAGCATCTACAGGTAAATCATTGATAATGCTATCAGAAAATAAGGATATAACGACAACAACATCAGCAGTGAAACCTCCAACAACGACATCATCAGGACACAAATCTCAGACAACAATAAACTCAACTACTAAGATGACATCAGCACATTCACCAGTTAATACGACAAAGTCAACAGTATTTAATCCTACAACATGCGTATCATCAACATATAAATCTACAATATCAGATTCATCTAATATTAAACCTACAGTAACAACATCAATTATTAGTCAACCTAATCAGAAGATAGTTTCTTCAATAGGAGATAAACCTTCAACATTAAAAACTGTACCCCATCAAACTGCAGTTTCAACAGTAGGAGGCAAATCTTCAACAGCTAAACCTACGATTACTAATGTTTCATCTATAAAAGTAACTACTGCTGCTATTAAAACTACGGCGCCAGTAGCGATGACTTCTTCTGTTTCAATTGTATCAAAAACAGAGGCAAAAATTGCGACATCCCCAAGTTCAGTGTCTACCGTATCAACAAAATTGGATAAATCGAGTACAAATCCCACAATTGGACCTGGTATACGTTCTGAAAAAGTTCAAACAACGCCCATGATATCCAGTGTGCCAACTTCTTCAAAAAATCTAAATAATTCATCGACAAATGCACGACCTACCATAACAAATACTACACAAGTATTGGACTCCAAAAATTCAAAAATGCCTTTAGTTACAGCCATTAATACAAAAGCAACCACAAGTATAAGTAAACAGTCATCAGTAAAACCAAAGACTACTAAGGCTAGCAATTCATCCGATAATTCTGTTAAGACTTTAGTAAGTACGGGTGAGAAGTCTGCTACAGTTGCTGCTCAGCCATCTACATCAAACAAACAGAAAGAAAAATCTACTGAACATAAAAATTTGAAAGCTTAACATTCATCACGCTTACTATATCTTTATGTAAAGAAACAAATCTACCGCTCAATCTAACGTGATAATTATAAGTATCTTTGTTGTGTTAAAGTTATAAAAATCCTATCTTAAAACTCGTTCTATAGTCTTTCTATTATGGAACGTTAAAATTTGTGCGAGACCTACATAGTATGTGTTGCACTAGGTAGGTAGGTATATGTTTATTAAACACTTTAGGAAACTAATAAATTCCTCATCAGTTGAAAGAAAATAGTGTATAATTTAAATAGTTGAATAGTTTGTAAATAAAAGTATAAAAGTAATAAAGAATCGTAGTTTGCGATTTAGATATTAAATAATATTATAATAAATCTGTATCAGTTGAATATCGAATGCCAAATTCTATAATTAAAATGTTTAAGTAATAAATATGCGAAGGGCCTTGGGATAAGAACAACAAAAAAGATTTGGTTTAGGGTATAAACTATAAATATAAATATGTATGATATGATAATTCTGCTCATAAAATGAAAGGAATTGAAAATAAAAAAAGACCTTAATATTATAATTTTAAGGGAAAGTAAAATTATGTATTCATTTACGAACATCCAGTCATTATGATTTTAATATTTAAATTCACAAGATTGGTATTGTAATGCATTCATAATTAAATGTTTCCAAAGTTTCGATTCGATGGTAGGTTAGTGGTGCTACGAAAGACAACAATATTTTTCATAGACAATATTATAATATTTTCGAGACCATTTAGAGATGATTTCATTCATCTCACACATCGTCAATTTATATCATTATTTAATTAATAAAATGTCAAACATACTGAATATTTCTACATTCTATTTTACTCATGATTGAAGAGAGAAAATTAATAAAAACGCAGGGTAGCGACAGATAATACGAATATTATTTATTAAATATTATAAAGTAATACTTAAATTGAAATATTACAGTAATTTTAACGATTATGATGGTGATTGATGAACATTGCACTGTCTTTATACTCATTATGCTTCTTCGAATAAGTAACATAGGTGTACAACACAGTATACCTAGTTCCGTGGCAAATTATTTACTGCTCTATTTAAGATTATAGACTGAGTTAATGAAAAAAGATATAAAATTGTACTAGACAAGAAAGACTCTTTGATCTAAGATATTGCGATGTGTGCATATTTTACACGGTATCGTGCCAATATTTACCTAGTAACCATTGTGTGTGTCCTTGTATGTACTCGTACAAAAAACAATAAGTATATAAAAATACTCCTTAAGATGATTAGTTATACATACTGTACCGTTATTATAACTAAGAAATACAACAATAACAATTTTCATAAAATGCATGGAGTTTTATAAAACTAACAATATATACCTTAATGTATTTATGTACATACGTCCAACTACAAAATAACTCCGTCTGAGATTTGCACAAAAATGTTATAATTTCTGATTTCTACATAAGTGTAAGCTGCCAATTTCGCTCAAAACATATGTATATTATATAAGCAATTAGATTTTCTTTGTATATTTTTAATCTCCAATAATTATTATACACATAATATTTTTTGTATTTTAGTTTCCGCAGTTATTCAGGTTGTTTCAGTGAGTAAGATCATTGTCAAAACTATGGTTTTTGCTATAATTCAATTAGGCATATTGTTATTTACGAATAATATAATTGTTATTGTGTCATTTTATAAATCGATCAGTTGGTACTACTTAACCTATGTTATTGGCTATGTAGTTGGGATTAGGTATAATTTCAAAGGTCATTTTAATTAATTGTCGATATAAAATTGTATAATTTCGAAAACGTAACATCGACTATGCCTATTTATCTTTAACTATATAGCATCCCGAAGTAGTTATCAGTATTACTTAGTAATTTGGTGCATTATTTTAGGTCGAAATCTGAAATACGTCTCATCTTCATATACAGAATATGAATTCAATATCATTTTTAACTCTTTAGAGGATATATTCAAAATTTGTTTCACATATTTTGCTGTATTTATTGGTAAACAAAAATACGTACTTTGTAACTTTAGTAGTATTTCAGCAATGATAAATTGTCTCATAACATAATATTGTACCTAGTACACAGATAATACGTGAATGTTTATCACTCTCTCTTTTATGTAATAATTTAAAACCACATTTTCCAGTGTTCAGTAGAGTAGTTCAATGTATAGATATAAAATGAATAGGTACATAAAATTATCTGTATAATTTGTCTTCTCAATGCCCGCAATTTTAATTTAGTATGTAAAGGATATTCTCAAATTAGAAATATTTATAAAGAAACCCGATTGAGGCTTGCCGTACCACTGCCTATCCTGGATATTATAGTAGCAGCTTGTATGATCGATATCATGCAGATCAATACATTCGTGCCTACAAATAGATTGTATGTTTCCTTTGATACGATGCCGTGTAAATAGGTCATCACAGTATTTAATTTTATTCTTCATTGCTAAACTGTATACCGTTCACTGAACACTTTAATAGCTGAATCTCTTGTTTTATATAAAAAAAAAAAAAAAAAACATATGCGATAGCATAAAATTTATTTACTGGTATATGAATTCCTAGAGATTTTGAGCAGAAAATCTAACTTGCGAGGCGGTCGCAAAGACAATTCCGTTTTTAGTAATTAGGTATCTATGTAATACCAATGTATTTATTTTTAAAGTATTACGCAACGTATATAACTTAGGTTTAGATTGTTAAGTAGTAATTTTTTTTTATTTTATGTTACAAAATATAGTACAGTTTTAGTTTAGACACTTCTAATATCAAAGATTAAAAAAAAAATTGAACAATTAAAATATAAAAGTAACCATTCAGTAGAAGCTTTATATACTTAATAATAAGAGTTCTTTGCACTATCAAATGTTCAGCAATTTCAATTAAGTACGTATTCGATTTAAATGATTGAGTATGTACAATTTCAATATAGACACCTTAGGGCACTCTCCTAAGCCATACAGCGTAACCGTCACTGCATTTTTTTAATTGAAAATTACACATACACCAATAATATTCGGTTTTTATTTTAGTAATATCACCATAACAATGCATAGCCAGCATTGGACAATGGAAAGAAAGAGTTGTCCTTATCTTGCATTGGTGTATTATATTTTATTTCCCTAATTGTCTTTTATAACATCTTGAGCTGAAAATGAACAGCAACACATGGGTGTTATTATCATTTTCATCCCCAATTTGATGCTATCACCATCAGAATACCATTACTCTGATAGTGATAGCATCTATACTAAGCAAGTTTTTATAACTATACTATACGATAATCAGAGGTGTCATAAAAGACACGAGTGTTTTTATACAATATTCTTGAAAGTGAAAATACTATGACGGTAGATTTTCCACGTAGGCCGAAAGGGGAGTGCTTTATCTATTGTATCAAGTCAAGTTAGTAAATTAGACTTGTCGTTTAGATATTTTACTCAAATTATAGATTTATAGTAAGTAAATAAGAATAATATGATAACGATTGTGTTGTTATTATTTTTTTAGACGAATTTATTTTGATAACTATCATGTTTTAACCTGTAGTTATTTAATGGTTTTATAAAAGAACTTACACTTTTTAATATATATTTTTTTTGAAAAAATATTGTAACTCCTACCTATTTATACCTAGGTACCTATCCATATTAGTTCCCTGTATGTAACATAAATATGATTGTAATGAGTGAAGGTAGTATTCGTGAGTGCGCTTCTGATTGTGCGTAGGCGCATGAGGAACGCGGTTATATTATTATTATAGCGTTAGCCTATCAAAAATTGTAGGTAATGCGTAGTGCTGCGTAACGCAACGCGATGCAGAGTTGAACGTACTTAAGGCAATATGGAAATTGACATGTATTTGATATAGATACTATCTCAGAGACGTATGTTTCTATGAGACAATTAAAACACGCCTAATTGAATAGAGATATTGTTGTTACAACTTGATGTATTTTAGAGAATTATTGATTAAAAATCGATGTTACATAGATGTTTATTATTGTAAATATTAGACTTAATTAAAGCCAAAGGTGTATGACATGTTCTAGAGTGTTATAGAAGGCTGTATTTTTTGGGTGATATTTTAGAAATGGACGGTATCATATCTTTGATAATATTATTTAAAATAACACTGGAAGGAAATAGGAAGCGAACGGTCATAGGAATGGTAAATGATGTGATAAATGCTAAAGATTTTAGTTTTAGTGTTGTTGTGCTATTAATAAAATATGTTCAAATGTGGTCAGATTTTTATTTTTTAAACATTATCCTTTTTTATCAATAAATGTGTTTAATAGATTTGAAATTGATAATATATTTAGTTATCTTGATTTGTAAGCGACTATGTCTAAATTCAAGCTGTTATGTGTTATAAGCTTTTTAATGCAAAGGATTTTTATATTACAATGTGTACAACCCTGAGTTTCATCACAAAGCTTTTTTAGATAGCAATAGAAAAATGGCAAATTATTAATAAAATAGAAGGAATATATATATATATTTACTAAACATTCATATCTACATTAGTTCCTGCGTAAACGGATAGAAAACCATTTAATTAAGTAGTTTCTCTATTGCAGAAAGTGGAAAAGTGGTCATATTTGCGCAGACTAAAAGAAGAAACCGTCACCACAGTTTTATTTGGACACTTTTGAACTTGTTTATTTAATCTTCAGTAAGACTGGTATAGAAAGAAACCAACGAAATTACGGTACGTAAAGGATAGGACAAATTATTTCCTTCATAAATTAAATATGAAAGACTTTTAATTGTAATATTTTTCATACTAAAGTTATACTAGATAAAAGAAGGGTCGATGAACATTGGAATAGGACGTCAGAGATCCGGCATACAGTCGTTATGCCGCGTAACATGAGTTTTGCATTCAATTAAATCGCAACGCACAGGCTTTTTATCATTGTGGATGACGTTGAACTTTCTTCTGCTGCTTTTATTTTATCATTCGTGTCGTGTTTCTGTGCGGAACGCACGCTTGCCACAAGCCGCTGTTTCGACTCAGTAAACACCGCTGTTTTTAGTTTCAACCGGTAATCGCCAGCTCGCATTCTAATGCTTCCACAACACAGGCCAACCGTGAATTTTAGTTTTTAAACCGTAAAATTATCGGTATCAACATAATTTTGTGCATGGTATTTGGTGAAACAGTGAACCAGTGGAACAGAACAAAGATTCCTAAATAGGTATTAAGTGAAATGAGACGTTGATTTACAGCTATATAATGATTCGTTGTTCTGTAGTTAGAAGTGAAATAACAATACGACTGGAATTTTAATTTTGCGGTGAAATGAAAAGGTATGTTTAAACGGATATTCTGTATTAACTGGGTTAACGACTTCTTAGCTATTTGAAATAAATTGAGTTTTGTTTATTGAACTTGTATGCTGACAGTGTTTTTAGATATAGGTTTCCGATATTAATTTCAGATACTGCAATAATCAAGTTAAAATCTATATAATTGTATGTTCTGACTGTTTCATCAAAGCACAACCTACACCACAAAAAAATTTGGAATTTTGAAGGGGTAAAATAAGGGGTGAAGTGTTGTATAAAAACCCGTAATTTTTTAAGTTAGAAGTGTGATATTTTATATACAAGCTTCTGGTTAGAAATAAATCATTATGTATTTCACGGTTTTTAAAAATTTGTCATCTAAGAGGGTTAGATAAAAGTTGGATGTTAATATGGAAAATCCGTCATTTTTTAAGTAAGAAGAATGAATTTTAATAATAAAGCTTTATTTCGTTGTTTTTGGAAACTCAATCTCAAACGGGAGTAATGGGGTGTAAATATTAGTATAAAAATGAAAAGTCTGCTTGAAATTTACTATTTACGTTTCTTTTTTAAATTGTTTTTGGAAATTTCAATCTTTAGACGAGAAAAGGGGTGGCAATGTTTTCGTTTTGAAGGGTCAGCACGTTATATATTCGCTAAAAAAACTACATATACTTCTAGGAACAAATAATGAAATGCAAAATACAAAATGTCTGAATATCATCCGCAAGGGAGGTGCACGATATACGTTTTCGTATAAAACTTCACTGTTTTTATGAATCAGACGTATTTTTTAATGGATTAACAAAGAAGAAATAATGTTAAATATATAAAAATGTACAAAGAAAAAAAAGTCGTAGTATATTTTTTTTGTAACCAGAATTAAATTTCATGTTTTTAACTTTGAAAATCACAGATTTGTATATAAACATTTATTCTTCAGGTACTTATACTTACTAGCGAGCAAAGCCGCAGACATCATCTAGTGTACCTATAATATTGTATCTCTTGTAGGTATCTGTTAATAGAAATTGTAATATTTATTATTACCTATCGTCATTTGTCAAGAGGTCATGCATAACCTGTCTGTCTGTTACAGATTATAAAATGCTGATAAACATGTCACTGTAGGCTAAAATACGAGTAATATCTGTAAATTCTAAAACACCTGTAGATAGTGTCGCTCTTGAATATATAGTAATTTATCTGAGCTCTTGTCAATCCATGTTGTTATATCTCGGTACAAGGGTACCTATCTTCATTAGGATGTAAGTATTGATTTCAAAAAAATTATTACATTTATGAACGAATTGTAACTAGGTACTTTCTTACTTCATAATTGATTCATTACTCACTAGCCGTATCCCACAGCTTCACCTGCGTGAATCACTATATAATGTATTCTATATGCTTAGTTAGGACGTAGCCCGTATATTAAATTTTATTCATATCTATATACAGTAGTTTTTGTATGAAAGAGTAACAAACATATGGATGGGTCATCGTTACTAATTTTCACATTTATAATATTAATAGGATATTTACGATGATCCGCGATGTAAAAAATAAATATTTTCCTGTACAGATGTACAGGTAGATACTACATAGGCATTATATTTTATTATATAAAAATTATATCTACCTAAAGTTTAAAAAGTTTGTATGTAACAAGGTAAACCCCAGTGGTGCAATTTTATCCATCCGTCCGTTCGTTCCTGTCTGAACACTATCTACAACTAATGGATATGAAATTTGGGACAAAATTATATATAAAAAAAACAACAATATGTTATTGGAGTACTTAAAATTTCCAAAATGACCTACTAGTCTAAGTGAGGTATCATATGAAAGGCTTTTATTTGTACATTTTAAAAGAGACTTTTGTTTATTTTTATGCTGCGTAGGTTTTTAGTTATGATCAAAAATGTGAGAAGAAGAAACCATCTTCCTCTTTATTGACTTCTTTCCAAATTTGTGGAGTGAACATTTGAAATAATTACAGCTTATGTAAATATTACAGAAAAAAATGAAACTAAGTCTCAACATCATTTCATTTAAAATAACACCGTTTTTAATAAATTATTAAAAACCTCCAAAAACTAATTTAGGTCTTCATTCTAGTTTTTAATTACAATTATGGCCCAAAATTTTTGGAATATGTAATGTCAATAATAATATGATATACATATTTTCGTATGAGAAATGCAATAAAGAAAATTTTATCTCATATTTATATATTTATGTAAGATGGTGTGTGTGTTCAATTGGCACCTGGCCGGGTTTTTTTAGAACTATTTGTTTAGTACTCATGAAAATATACCTTAATGAAAATAATAAAATTTTATAATTAAGTAATTGTTTTACACTATATGGGGAGATAGGTTCTTTTAGTGAAAGATTTTTACTAACACAGAATAGGTATATACCAACAGGTTTTAATAAGACATTAATAAAATTAATTCAAAATTACATGAACACATGTGTTGGTAGCAGTAGCACAAATAGAATAGGGCATGATGCAATATATTTAAAATAGAAACAAAGGATTTTATAGCTTTTAATATGTATGCCTCTATTTGCTATTACGTATGTACCTACATTATCTTTATATCATTATAATCCTCGTCTGTAAAATGCCAACAGTTATCTCGTTTCATAAACGAGAAACAAGTCGTGCATCCTGTCACACACTTCTACATATTTCTTAGAGTCGAATATTGAACTGTATTTCCGGTTGATAAAGATACGTTTTAATGTTTCTAAAAGAGTCAGTATTTTAACTATAGTAAGATGCTGAGAAGTCGATCTCTGATATAAGAAACATAACACTGCAAAATATTTGTTCTCAAGTTATACCATACCGCAATGAGCGGCGTCAGAAAATATTTATATACTGTGATGTATATAAGTGTATTCATATTTCAGGTGCTACTTTCTAAAAATTATAAAAACTAAGGAATACATTTAACTTTTGCATTGTAAATAATATTTAATTTTCTTTGAAAAACAACTAGCATCATAATGAATAAATGTATATATTATATAAAAACCATATACATGTTTTCACATATAAATGCCTAATTATAGTTTATATGCTCGTAGTTTTGGCAATCTCAGCACAGCCTTCATAATAATTAACAGTAGTAAACTTAGAATGCGATGCATTTTAAATATGAGTATATTACCAATTTTGTAAACATAAGAATACGTATATTCTTATTACAAATAAGATATAGTATTTTACGATATTTTCTATAAAGAAAATATCTAATGTCTAAGTAGACTTATTACAAATAAGATATAGTATTTTACGATATTTTCTATAAAGAAAATGTCTAATGTCTAAGTAGACTTAATAAGCACACATAACGTAATAAGTAGATGTAAGAAGTGTTTTATATCTGCGCCTCCGTATTGAACATTTGTATAGTGATAAAAAGTGTGTTTGTGACAATATAGTCTACTCTTTATTCAAATACAGCAACTCATAAACTTGTAAAGATTTAGAAACATTCAGTTAGAAAATAAACCTCGTCGCTTGTATATGGAAGCGTGTGAACAGAAACTATCAATGTCGTTCCCCAGCTCACTTTCCATCCATTCATGGAATTATCAGCTTTTTTAAATGATTTCTTACGCCCTGGTCTATATTTGTAAGTAACTTTCTATCTTCATATCATATCAGAAGAAAGTCGCTTGTCATTCATCGACGGGGTTGTACCCTTCAAGTAGGTAGGTAGCGGTTTTTATCTACATCGATAAAATTAATATAGATTAATCTTCTCTAATTTGATAATAATATGTACAAACATCCGCTAAATACAATATTATATATATATATATATATATATATATATATATATATATATATATATATATATATATATATATATATATATATATATATATAATATTCTAAATATGTTCAACTAACATTCCTTTGAAATCCGTTGAAATCTTTTATGGCAATTATAAATTTTATCTGTAATGCACCTAATATTTACATTTCATTGAAATAATAACATCATGATTTTATTAAGTATCTATCAATTACTTCTGTAAAGAAAAAATATAATTCCTTCGTTTACTTTTCCTAAAATTATATTTATTTATCTAAGTACATGATATTGTATTACTTATTATGTACTTGTCTATATATGTGCAAACTTACAGCCCATCATCTGTCGTCATATATCTAGTATAATTAGAGATCTAATAAATTCTAATTAGAAATAACAAAACCATTAAGGGTTTTTATTTTCAATATAACATTGTCTAGTCGTCTATTCGTATATTGTTAACTAAAAACAAAGTTGATTCAATTTAAATGTTACTTACGAACTAAGGTAGGCACTAAATTAAATTGTGACTGGTAGTGCTTGTGTGAACACATTATCTTCCTGCCCTAACCCAATTATTTATGAACTGATTTGAAATAAATATACCTACGTAAAATATAGATTAACAGGGGGCCTACTATGAAATGAAATTCCGAAGTTTCGGACTCAATTTCGTGTTTTTGTTCACACCTAAATCGGGCCAGTAAATGGAGCTTAACATTTCGTTCGTCATAAATCCTACCATCAAAGTCCCAAGGAATAATATTTTCATATTTTTTATATTTTTAAACGGTAAGTATTATGTAATTTTAACATTAAATTTGTGTTTCGTTCGGCTCCGAAATTTCGGAAAACATTTCATAGTAGGCCCTCCTGATTTAGTTTTAAGAAGAATTTAACCGGTTATAATTAAAGATTATATCCCACAAAAAAAAACCAACTTCAATTGTGACAAAACCAGTTATTTTTGGTTTAAAAATTAAACTACTGAACCGATTTTGATAAAATTTATATTACGGAACTAATCTGTAAGTATATCCTTTCAGATAAATAAAGAAGTTTCGAAATCGGTTAGAACTGACGAAGTTATGAGGTGACAAATATAAAAAAAAATTGAATTAAGAACCTTCTTACTTTTAAAGTCTGTTGAAGATCAAATTAATCTGGTATCAGTAAAAAACA